GCAGGGGCGTGAGGTCCAGTCCGGCAACGCTTTCGGGGAAGAGCTCAGTCCAAGGGCAAATTCAAGTCCACGGGGGAACCGGCCAGGATGCCCTCCTGGAGGAGAAATGCAGCCCGTGAGCACAGCCCAGTGAGGCCGCAGCCAGAGGGAGGCGCGGCAGAGACCCAGCGGCCGGCACAGCCCTGGCACTGTAACCCCTGGGGTTGTGACTGTGTCCAAATCTGCACTCCAAACCCTGGGGAGGGGGTTTTCCTCCCAGCCCCGGGGAAGGCGATCCGGACCACCCCACCAGGCGGCTCTGGGGGGGTAGGGTCGCAGCGGGAAGGCCATCACAGCCCTGGCACTGTAACCACTGGGGTTGTGCCTTGGGGGTTTTCCTCCCAGCCCCAGGGGAAGGCCATCGGCCCACCCCACCAGGCGGCTCTGGGGGCTGGGACCATCTCCCATTACAAGGCCCAGCAGCCGGCCCTGCTTCTTCCCCCCTGCTCAGCAGTGCTGGGGCCAGCAGGCCTCACTCCTAACTGGGCCACCTCCGGTCCCCTCCGCTCCTGAGTGGGTCCCCGCGGGGCCCTCCGCGTGGCCGTGTGAGGTGGGAGCTCGTCAGGTCACTGGGAGTGCACGTAGGCGGGCAGTTCCGCGGGACGAGCTTGGTCCTCGCGAGAGGGCTGACAGGAGCGCCAGGGCCGGCCCCGCAGTGCCCTAATCGCATCTGGCGCAGCCCGCTAAGGTCTTAGCCAGGGAGATTGGGGAAACCGGTGCTGTGGCCCACAAGGCCGGCAAGACTTTTGCTCACGATGCACCCAGCCTCAGGTATTTTGCTGTAGCAATGGAAATGGACGAACACAGGCGCCGCCTGCCCCGTCCCCAGGAGCTCAGTGCCTCTGCGCAGCTGCCCGGGCCGCATCCCTGCCTCGCCCGGCCCATTCGCCCGTCTCCTCCGCTGCCCTCCCCCACTCTGCCTCCAGGGGGCGCCTGTCAACCTCCCACTGGTCGCTTCCCTCGCAGCAGCCGCGGCTCAGAGGCCTGCAGGGTGTGAGTGCCCCTGCTACTCTCTCCTCGCCCCTGTGCACACCCCGCTCCAGCCCTACCGGCCTCTTCCTCCCCGTACCCCACTCCTGCCGATCTGGGAAGCAATGGCTACACTCGCAGAGCCTGGCCCGGGCTGGAGACCAAGCCCGCCCTGACCGGGCACTGCAGACAAGGCCGCGAGCGGCAGGCGGGGAGGGAACAGGAGCGGAGGGAGGCGGCCTCCGACTCAAGTGGGGACAGGGAAAGGCGGCACGGGGTGACAGGGGAGCAGACCAGGAGGGGCGAGGGGGCGAGGCAGGGGCTCCCCGGGATGGGCGTTCGTGCGGAGGTGGCCAGCGGGACAGCCGCAGCCGGTGAGCACACAAATGCCCACGGCGCCCACAGCGCCCCGGGGAGGCGGCACCACCGCTCTGCCCACGCTGGAGCCGCAGAAGCCCGGGGCGGAGGAGGGGCAGTCACTCATCTGGGGCTCAACCCTGAGTCTACACGGGGGTCCGGGCAGGCGGCGCGTGGGCAAGGACACTTGGAGGGGCAGGGACGTGGGAGGACGCCGCCCCCACCCGGCTCACCCAGCCCCCGTGCGCCTGGATCCAGGGTGCGAAGCTGTGCACATGCTCCACGCTCAGCCCCGCCAGCGTGCCCCCGAGGTGGGCCACGCGCCGGCTCAGCTCCATGGCCAAGGCCAGGCGGGCCAGGGGCTCCGGGGAAGGCGGCGGGGGCCCCGGGCAAGGCAAGGAGGGGCTCGCGCGGCTCGGCCGGGGGCTGCCCTCGCGGCTAGAGAACAGCTCCACCAGCCGGGCGAAAGAGGCGGTGGACAGGCGGGCCAGCTTCTGGCGCAGGGCAGGGTCCGAGGCCAGCTGCGGGATAGAGGGGGAGGAGGCCTTGTCAACCAATGAGGAGACTGGGAGGCGTGGCTCCCTGGTTCAGGCCAGTTCTAGATGCCGCCACGCTAAGCCACACCCCACCCATCGCATCGGCCAATCCCAAGCTGGACTCCGTGGCCTAGAACCCACACCCCGCCCCAGTTCTCCACAGCCAATCGGGCTACAAACCCGGTGGGCTCCCAGGGCCAGAGTCTCCGAGGCCGGGCTAGGGTCGAGGGTAACATTACAGGCCCACGTGCTCCGCCCAAGCGCCTGAACCAATCAGCTTCCAGCACAGAGCCGGCAGGCCCTCGGGCAGCCCAAGCCAGGCCCCTACTGTGGTCAAGCACACCTTAGACCCCCACTCCTCCCCTCCCCCACCCCTTTCCCCTCCCTCTGCAGGCCCGGGCGGGTTTGGGCTCCTGTCCTCGCCAGGGGAGGGGCCGCTGTCACCTGCTGGTTGATGACTTCCGCCTCCTCCTCCAGCAGGGCCACCAGCCGGCGCAGCACGGCCTCCTTCTCCGTGGCTGGGGGGTCCTGCAGCTCTGGGGGCAGGCGGGAATGTGGCTGGGGCGGAACCCTGGCCACCCTCCCCCCCGCCCCGCCTCCCGCAGGTGCCTCGGGGCCTCACCTGGGCTGGGCGGGGCTCTCAGCTGCTCCTGGACCAGCACCTCCAGCCGCTGCGCCACCAGGGTGTAGAAGTCGGCAGGAGCTGGGCCTGCAGCAAACGCAGCCGTGCCGGGCGCGGGGGCCGGAACCTTCCCGAGCCCCCCTCCCAGGGCACCCCGCTACGGACGGGGTCAGCGTCTCCCAAACCACAGAGCGGCTCACAGAGAAGGACGTGCTGTCTGCGAGGCCGGCAGCCCCCCGGGGGCCAAGCTGGAGCCCTGCTGCCCGTCACTCAGCCTTTCAAGTCAATCCATCTTCGTGTTAAAAAAGAGGGAGAAGGCCCTTAGCCTAGCAGCTAGGGCGCCTGCACGGCATATCAGAGTACCCGGGTTCAAGTCCCAGCGCCAGCCACTAATTCCGGGCCCCTGCTGAGGCAGACGCTAGGAGGCAGCAGCCATGGCTTCGGAAGCAGGTTCCTGCCACACGCGGGGAGACCAGGAACGAGGGCCTGGCCCAGCCTGGAGAGCGTGGGTATTTGGGGAGTGAACCAGGAGTCGGGAAATAGCTGCGCGCGCGCGTTCTCTCTCTCTCTCTCTCGTTCTAGCTCTCAACTAATTTTCTTTGTGATGTGTTTATTTGAAAGGCAGAAACACAGAGCGAGAGTAAGACAGTGAAAGTGAGAAGGCGAGATTTCCACCCCCCGGGTCACTCCTCAAATGGCTGCAACGGCCCAGACGTGGCCAGGCGACGCCGGGAGGCAGGCTCTGCGCCGGCTCTCTCCCACGCGGGGCAGGGACTCGGCGACCTGACCCCCCGGGCGCATCAGTGGGAGCCCAGCTGGGCGCAGGCTCTCTGCTCGGGGTGGGGGCGGGGTCCCAAGTGCAGCTCAAGCTGCCCTCCGGTCAATCTGTTACGTTTCAAAAGGATTCCGAGTAGTTTTAGATTCCAGATTGTGGATGGGCCGCCAGTAACGTTTGTACCAATATTCCACAATCCAGAAAACTTCCCAGATGGGAAGCCCTTCTCGTCCCGGGCACCTCGGGACCTGCGGACTGATCCCAGCACGCGTCGCCCAGCTGTCCGGGCTCACCGACCACAGCTCTGCCAGGCCGCGCCGGCGCAAGGTGGATGGCTGCGCACCACCTCTGCCGCACTGGACCAGGAAGGGAACGGTCACACGGCTGCGCAGCCAAAGCGTCCAGGGCTCCGGCCTCCCTGTCGGAGGTGCTGGGGGCTGCACAGTCCAACAGGGCGAGACCCATGTGGACCGGGAGAGGTGCAGGGGGGCCGCGATCGCTCCCGCTGTCCACCCGGAGAACTGGGGGGCGGAGCTGGAACCCGGCACTAGGACCGCATCCTGCCTGCGGTCAGGAAGGGCTTACCCGGCTCCGAGCCATAGCAGGGGCGGAGGGGCAGGGAGGAAGGCCGAGGGGACTCAGGGGGGGCGGCTGCTCGCCCCAGGGGGCACGGAAGACATCTGCGGAGGCGGCTCAGGAAGTCTGTCGGCTCCTCCGGGGCGGGGTTCCTGGGGAGGGGGACCTCAGAGTGACCCCGGGGGGCCCCTGGGGACAGTCCCTCGTTCCTGCCCACTGAGGATCTCTCCCTCGCTGGACAAAGACGGACTGAGAGCGAGAGGGGGTCCCTCTTACCTGGGAGGGGTGGGGCTGGGGGCCTCGGCAGCCTCGCCCCTCCTGAGGAAGGCAGCCAGGACCCTCAGCGTGTCCTCGCGGAGCCCCAGCTCCTCCGAGCCCGCCATGGAGGCACCTGGGGGAGGGGAGGCTGAGGAGCTGGCGGCTGGGGCCCAAGCCCCCCGTCCCTGAATGAAGAGAGGCCCAGGAGTCCTGGGCCCCAAAGGGAGGAAGGCGCTGAGGGCCTCGGGGAGGGTTCAGGGTTGAGGGACCCAAACTCTTGAGTCCCCCAGAGGGAAAAGTGCGATGAGAACCAACTGCTTTATCCCGGAAAAGGAGGGGCCCGGGGCTGGGATTCCTAGATCCAAGGGAGGAGGGGGCTGGGGGCCCGGACTCCGGGGTCCGCGAGGGGAAGGGGGCTTTCTCGTGCATGCTGAAGTTAGCATATGCCAAGCTTAGCCGTCCTTAAGGGACCGGGAACTACCAATCCCAGCAGGCCCCGCAGAGGGCGAGCGCGGGGCGAAGGGAGTGTTTGCCACGAAGCCTGCTGGGAGATGTAGTTCCGACCACCACGCTGGCACGTTGGGGACCCCCGGCCCTGGGACATCGGAGAAGCGGCGCTGAGGTACCGCTCCAGGGTCCCGGCCCGATTCACACTTTATCCCAGCCAAGGACAACACCCCACTCACCTGGCCCAGCGCCCCGCTGCCGCAGCCGCCTCCCTCAAGTCACACAAACTTTTCTAGTAGGTCAACTTTCCCGCGCCTGCGCACTGGGCCGGTTGGGTAACCGCCCCCAACGTGGAAGGGGCGGGGCGCTGAGTGCCGCCTGATTTGCATATGACGTTCCCAGCATGCCTGTGGCCGGAAGACCGAAAAGGGGCGAGACGGGTACGCTCTGGGCTGCAGGCGGCCTCTTTGGCTTTGGAACTTGTTACCTAGAGGATGTTGAAATTGCTTTTATTTCAAGAGATCGATAGGAAAGACAGCCCCGGCGCGCTAAAGCTCAGCTGACAGGACACAAGCTGCGCAAGTTCGAGCTTGAGAGCTACCCGGAGCCCAGGGCCGGTGGGCGTCCACCCTGCGCGCCCCGACCGTAACGCGGAAGAGTTCATTCCAGAGTGGAGAGGGGCGCGCGCGCTGGCGGGGGCGGGGGGTCGTGCCCGAGCATCGGCGCTGGAAACGGGTAGGGGGCTCCCTCGTGGGGGAACCGTGGAAGGCGGCCCACAGCGCGGTGGAATCGGGGATGCCGGCTTTGGATCAGGAAAAGGGGGAGGTCTACACTGGCCGAGGCGAGGGCGTGGAGGCTGGGTGTCTACAGTGTGTCTGGGCTGGAATCCTCGCTGAATCAGGGAGTCTTTCCGGAGGATGGGAGAGGAGGCCCCCTGTTTGTACACCAGGCGATTACGGGACGCTGCGACCCGTGGAGGGAGCCTGGGTGTGGAAGTCCTGGGCCAGGTAGGGCAGGAGAGGGCCCACGCCCAGGAACCTCCCTGTCCGCGCAGGCGGGAGCATGGGGACGCAGAAGCCGCGGATCCTGCCCTGGCTGATCCAGCAGCTGGACCTGGGGCAGCTGGAGGGCGTGTCGTGGGTGGACGAGCACCGGAAGCGCTTCCGGATACCTTGGAAGCACGGGCTGCGGCAGGATGCGCAGCCGCAGGACTTCGGCATCTTCCAGGTGCGCGCGTGCTCGGCTGGGAGGGGCTTGGCCCTGTGGCACCTGCTCCTAAGGCGACGGGTGTGGGGGGGCTGGTGCTGGGGAGCAGGCAGTGTGGGAGCGGCCCGGTTCCAGTTATCAGGGCCAGAGCCCCAAGGAAACGCATTCTGGTGCCGGCTGAGTCTGGCTTTGATTGTTGAATTCTGGGAGTGGCCAAAGCTGGGGTTCCTAACCACCAGCTTAGGATACACAGCGTCGGGGGCGGAGCTGAGGCTGTCCTGGGACCCGCAGAGGCAGGGAGACACCAGCGGGGCCCGGAAGGCTGGTGTGGGAATCAGTGGGTTTGACAGCTGCAGGCAGGGTGTAGGGGTGAGGCTGGATTATAGGGAAGCTGGGCACGTGGGGAATCCGAGAATCGGGATGGAACCCGGGCGCCAGAGGCTGCAGTGGGGGCGAGCCTTGTGTGAAGTGAGGACCCCAGGGCAGGGTCTCATCCTCCTCCCTGGTGTCCCGGCACCGCTGGTGCCCTAGGCCTGGGCAGAGGCCAGCGGCGCCTATACTCCCGGGGATAGGCCCGACCTGCCAACCTGGAAGAGGAACTTCCGGTCCGCCCTAAACCGGAAGGAAGTGGTGCGTTTAGCTGAGGACCGGAGCAAGGACCCTCACGACCCGCACAAGGTCTACGAGTTTGTGACCTCAGGTGTGCCAGAGCAGGGTTCCCCACGGAGGGCCGGGATGTCCGGTGCCCAGCACCCCTCCGCCACCATCGCCTTTCTCAACAGGAGCTGGGGACATCTCTCCCGAAGTTCAGGGGGACAGTACCTCTGAGAGCCAGGTGAGCATGCACCCCTCCCCGTCGTCCTGGCCTGGCCTCACCCCCCCCCCCCCCCCGGCTCCCAGCCCCCTGTGGCTGTCCGGCAGCCTCGGGCATCGGAGCGCCCACCCCACCCTGCCAGGATTTCATAGCTTTCCTCGGATAATGGCGCCCTCAGCCTCTTGAGACCTCAACCCCTCCCCCTCCCCCTCCCTTGCTGCTGTGCCAGGGACACGCCCCCTCTGAGACCCCCGTCTGCCAGGCGCTCAGGGGCGCGGCTGCGTCTCCCCCAGCCTGGAGCTCGTGGAGGGCCGAGGGGTCCCCGCGTGGCTGAAGTCCCCAGGAAGGGCCGCGGCGCCCAGCTCCGTCTGTCCCTCCAGGAAGACGAGCTGGAGCAGCTCCTGGGCGACATGGGCCTGGCGGCCGGCCCGGACGAGGGGCCCTGGGCTGGGGCTGTGGCCCCTGAGTGCTGCCCTCAGCTCTTGCTGAGCCCTCACCTGGACCACCCCGGCCCCTGCCCGCACCCCGCACCCCCTGAAAACCCACTGAGGCAGCTGCTGGTGCCCGAGGAACGTAAGTGCCCGCGGAGGGGCGGGAGGGGCCGCGGCCAGGGCTCCGGGCCTCACTCTCTCCCCGCCCTTCACGCCGCCCCGCAGAGTGGGAGTTCGAGGTGACCGCCTTCTACCGGGGCCGCCAGGTCTTCCAGCAGACCATCTGCTGCCCAGGAGGCCTGCGGCTCGTGGGCCCGGAAGCCGCAGCCAGGACGCTGCCGGGGCAGCCGGTTGCCCTGCCGGACCCCGGGACGGCCCTGTCTGACGGGAGCGTGAGCTGCTACGTGCGACGCGTGCTCCAGAGCCTGGAGGGGGGACTGGCCCTGTGGCAGCTGGGGCCTCGGCTCTGTGCCCGGCGGCTGGGGCACTGCCACACCTACTGGGCCGTGGGGGAGGAGCTGCTCCCCAACAGCGGGCACGGGCCCGCCGGCGAGGTCCCCAAGGACCAGGACGGAAGCGTGTTCGAGCTGGGGCCCTTCGTGGCAGGTGAGCGGGCGACGGGCTGAGGCGAGCACGGGCACAGCGGGGGAGGGCTCTGGGGCCAGGTGTCCAGGGTGCTGTGTGCACCCCGTAACCCGGGGTGAAGGATGTCTGCCCGACCCCATCGAGGCTGGGGCCCGCCTCCTCTCTGAACCTGCCACGGCCGGTCTACGGCACAAGGCCTGGCACACAGGTGCTGGGGATGCACCGCACTGGCCCTGTCCCGCCGTCAGGGCGGTGGTGGTGGCCAGCAGGGAGATGACCCTCGCAGGCCTCCGTCCACCCAGACGTCCTGTGACCGCGGCAGCGCCCGGTCTTGCCCAGGTATCCCCTGGCCATGTGAGGCTCTGCGCATGCTGGGGGCTCCCCCACACCGCAGCTCCCTGGTCAGGGCGGCCGAGGGCCTAGGCCAGGGAGGGGATGAGGCTGCTGCCCGCACGCAGGTGTGGACAGGTCTTCCCTCTCCCGACCGTGTTCCTGCCCCCAGATCTGATCGCGTTCATGGAAGGAAGCGGACACTCACCTCGCTACACCCTCTGGTTCTGTTTGGGGGAGGCCTGGCCCCAGGACCAGCCGTGGGTCAAGAGGCTCGTGATGGTCAAGGTGCTGCAGCCGGGGACTCCTGGGGGGGGGGGGGCTTGCAGAGGGAGAGGGTGCTCTGCTCTCAGGAACTACAACTCCCAGCAGCCCCGGCGAAACCCCACTTCAGCCCGCAGTTACTCATCCTTCCCCCAGAGCTGTCTGGACAGCGGCAGCCCAGCCCTGCACTCTGGCCCCCTGTGTGTTTTTTAGTTAAGATTTAGTCAGTTACACAGAGAGAGGTTCACTCCCCAGTTGGCAGTGGCCTGTGCTGGGCCAGGCCAGAGCCAGGAGCTGGTGGGTCTCCCACGTGGGTGCAGGGGCCCAGGCACTTGGGCTGTCCTCCACCACTTTCCCAGGCCATAGCAGGGAGCTGGATCAGGAGTGGAGCAGCCAGGAATCAAACCAGCGCCCATACGGGAGGCTGGCGCCAGCTACGCCTCCTGCATGCGTGGCCGGGGGAACTACCCTTCCCAGGGGCCTGGGCCCAGTGGTCATCCTGGGTGTAAGTGGGGCCTGCGGGGCCCTGCAGCCGCCCTCTCCCCGGGTGGACAGGACAGCAGCTGGAATCCTTTCTGTCCTGCCCCGCAGGTCGTGCCCATGTGCCTCAAGGCCCTGTTAGACATGGCCAGGGCAGGGGGCGCCTCCTCCCTGGAGAACAGCGTGGACCTGCACATTTCCAACAGCCAGCCGCTCTCCCTCACCTCCGACCAGTACAAGGCCTACCTGCAGGACCTGATGGAGGACATGGATTTCCAAGTCACTGGGGAGCCCTGAGCTCTGGCTTCCACAGCAATAAACCGGGTCCTGCTACACCACCACTTGTGTGCGTCCTGCTGCTGGATGCCCAGGCCAGGCCTGACCCTGACTGGGTGTTCCTGCTGCTGGGCGTCCGTTTGCCTGTCTGTGGCTGTCCACACTCAGGTGCACCTGCGACCTGGTGAGCAGCGCCGGCCACGCCCCTGCGCCCACAGCTCACACTGCAGCTCTGGGGGGCAGGACAGGCACGGGCAGAGCCGCCCGGTGACCCTGGGCCCTGCTGCCGTGCCGGTTCCCCCAGGACAGGGAACCGGGTCAGCTCAGCCCCTCAGGGCTGCTGCAGAGAAGGAGGCCCTGCCCAAGGGGAGAGCGAGGTACTCCGCACCCAGGTACCCCGAGTTCCAGACACCGTGAGGTGGGGCCTGGGAGCGCCCGCTCCGACGGCCAGCACTGCTCCCAGTCTGGGTCCAGCCTCCCCCCACCAGGCCAGGGAGGGCAGCGCGCCTGCCCCAGTCCACCCCCCCTGCAGCCTCAGGCCAGGCTCCTGCCCGGCTCTCCCCAATTTGCCTGTGAGAGAGAGAGGGCTGAAACGGGTGGGTGACATTTCATGAAATCTTTAATGAAATCAGGGCGGGGCACAAACGGGGCAAGGGTGTGGGGACAGGCGTGGGGTGGGGCACGGGCACCAGGCTGGGGGCAGGGCAGGGGGCTCTCCCGTCTTCCGCAGCGGCCTTCCCCCGTCGTCCCACTGAGGGGGAGGGGAGCGGGGAGGCAGAGCCATAAATATGTCCAGAATTTCCGAGAGGCTGGGGCTGGGGGGCAGGGCTCAGAGAGGGGGCAGGGGCAAGCCTGGACCGCCCTTGTCCGGGGGCCCCGGCTCCTTGGGTGGCCGGGGGGGCCCTGGGGGGTCCCCTGGCTTGCGGCCGTGTTTGCGGAAGTAGCGGTAGCGCTGGACGTAGGCCCGCACCAGGTTGCTCACCTTCACTGGGTTGATCTCCCCGCTCTTGCTGTGACAGATCTGGGGGGCAGGGGCAGCTGTGGTCACTGCCCCAGGACCCTCCCCACGGCCTGCACAGCTCAGCCTGAGGGGCTGCTTCCCCAGGGCCCAGGCTCCTCCGGACCAGCAGACACACTGCGACCCCCCCCCCCCCGGCCCTGGCCTGCGCCCCACCTTGTGGACGGCCTTCCTCAGGATGTCCTTGTACTCGTCCTTGGTGATGTCCTTCTTCTGGTAGTACGGCTTGATGGCCAGCTTCACCTCCTCCACCGCCCGCTCCTGTGTGTGCAGCTTCTTCAGATACTGTGGAGGGAGGGGTAGCGCAGGCCAGGTGAGCCCCCCTCGGCTCTGCTGTCACCACGCACCCCCGCGCCGGGCCCCTCGGCAGACGGAAGCCACAGCCGCACCATCGGTGGTTCTGAGTCCGACAGGAACACGTGCAGCGGGGCAGCCTAACCCCGGCCTCGGTTTCTCCGGCCCAGCTGTGGCTCCCACGCGGGCGGAGGGCAGAGGGGAGCGGCGCGCGGCTACAAGCCCGGGGGAGGTGGCAGCCGCGCGGAGGCCCGGGCCACAACACCCTGGCTCTGACCGCTGGGGACACTTCCGCAGGGAGCGCTCAGGCCAGGGCCAATCAGGGAAGCTGTGACGGGTGAGGGCGCTGCACCGTGTGAGGAGAAGCCACGTTCCCAGGGGAAGGCCCCCTCCGTGGCCGCAGGTGTGGCATCCCCGCACCCACAGCCCACAGCGCCTGCCCCATCCTCACAAACGCAGCGGACAGCGCTCGCAGGCTGGCGTGTGGAACCAGGGCGAGCAGGCCTGGTCAGGCATGGGGGGCGATCCTGAGCCCGTTCCCGGGCCCCGGGGCTGGGTGAGCTGGGGAGAGGGCGCAAGAGGGCCCGTGACAGGACAAGAAGGCAGACCGACAAGCTGGCGAGCTCTGGAGGGACGCCCCCCAGGCGTGGTTCCTGCAGAGCCACAGCCAAAGAAAGGGGCTGTCCCCAACGCCCACCTCACAGGAGGCAACCTGGACAGGGTGGGGAGACCTGCTGGGCCCGCAGCACAGCACGCGCCGCACTGGGCAGCCAGCTCAGCCGGGCTCCCTGCAGTTCCTCCTGGGGCCCCCCACTTTCCCCCAGCTCACACCGAAACCCACACCCATCCCAGCCAGGGAGCGGCTTCCCAGAAAGAGCCGGGCACGCGAGCGTGGGCCGCGGCGGGCGGGCTGCAGTGTGTGCGGGGTACCTACACACATGCACACGCACAAGCGGCCCTGTCTGCGCTCACCTTGTCTGTGTCCCCACGCCCCTCGGAGCTGCTGCTGCCCTCTCTCTTATCACACGCAGCAGCCAGGCCAGTGGGGGTGGGGGGGGTAGAACCGCAGCCCCCCAGTGGGAGGCCGCCAGGAAGCAGGTAGCTGGAAGGGCCAGGGGGCAGACCCAGAGAGGCGGGCACAGGTGCTGGGGTCACCCCCAGGGTTGAGGGTGGCTTCCGGTGGCTGAGGATCTGTGGAAGAGTGTGGGGGGAGGGACGATGAGCAGAGGGAAGGTGGAGAGAAGAGGGACGTGCACCCCAGCCGCCCCAACATCCCCCGTCCCTGGGCCACGCCCCCGCCTTGTGGCCAGAGGCCCTCCCCACGTGAGCCCACCTGGTTGGTGGCCTGGATCAGCTCCTGGGCCTTGGCTCGGCTGGCCAGGTTGGCTTCCTCCATCTTGAAGAGAAGTGCAGTCACTGCAGGAGGCGGGAGGCGACAGGAGATGGTGAACCCCCCCACCTGCTGCCCCACTCCCACTGGAGACGAGGGCCACTGCCCTCCCAATGTCCCTGGCGCTTACCGGCCCTGCGGGGGTCGAGGTGGTGCAGATTAGCTCCCGACCCCCCCGGTCCAGCAGAGCCGCTGCAGTGCCCCACACAGCCTGTCCTGGCCCCCAGCCCTCGAGGCCCGTCCCCCCTCTCCAGCCAGCACTGGCCATGCCCCCCAACACGAGGAGCCTTCAGCCACCACACCACCTGCCATGGGCCCCCAGGGACACTCACAGGCCAGGACGCCACTGGTGGTGCAGTCCACACCAGCCGGCAGGTTCCAGGGCAGGGGCGGGGGCAGCGTGGGCAGCTGGGAGACGCGGGCGGCCGGCCCATCCTCCGCCCCCGAGTCACCAGCCGTGGACCCTGCACTGGGCGCCGTGCTCGGGGCGGCCGCGGCGGTGCTGGTGGCCGTGGTGGTGGCCGGCTGCTGCTCTTCCTCCTCTTCCTCCTCCTCCTCCTCCTCTTCCTCCTCCTCCTCCTCCTCCGCCCCGCCTCTGCCTCCAGCCTCCTCGGCGGCCTCCTCGGGCAGGAAGGACACCTCGGGGGTCTTGCAGCTGCTGTCCACGGTCTGAGAATCTGGAGTGAGGGCAGGGGGTGGAGGCGCTGCCTTGGGGGGTGGGGTGCTGGGGGCCTTGGACGCCCGCTCCTCCCCCGACCAGGAGGTCTCCTCGGCACCCTTGGCTCCTGCGGCCTGGCTACAGCTGTCTGCCTTGGACTTCTTCAGGGACACGGGGCCTCCGCCACCGCCCCCACTGCGGACCTTCTTCCTGGTCTTGGATGGCTTGGTCTTTCCCTTGGTCCCCTTGGCTTTCTTGGCCCCAGCCTTGGCCTTGACCTTGGTCTTTTTGGGCTTGGTGCTGCCCGGAGCGACTTTGGCCACCTCAGCGGGGGCCCGCTCGTCGGGCTTCAGGAAGGGAGAGCGGCTCTCCCGGTCGCGGCTGAACTTGACACCGATGGAGCCCAGGCCGGCAGACGCGGCATCCTTGGCCGGGGTGGTGCTGCTGACGCCTTCCCGGATCAGCACCGCCACCTTGGACTGCAGCTTCACCTTCCGCGAGGAGCAGGACGATGACGACGACGAGGAGCCTGAGCTGCTGCTGGCCGGGGGCTTTGGCGGGGGCCCAGAGGAAGGGGCCGACTCCTTGGGAGGCCTGGTCTTCTTGGACGACCTGTCCCGGTCCCGGTCCCCCCCGTCCAGAGCCTTCCGGCGAGCCCCCTTCTCTCTGGAGGACGAGGCGCTGGCCCCGGAGCGGCGCCGGTCCTTCTCGCTGCTCTTGCCAGCCCGCTCGTCGCCACTCAGGCCCTCCGAGTCATACAGGACCTCGCGCTTGGGGGAGGAGGCGGGGGCCGGGGAAGGCCCTCGGGGCTCGGCCTTGTCCAGCCGGCCCACCGTGATGGTCCGCTTGATGGCGAAAAGGTCATGGTCGGTGAGGTCCTGGATGGAGGGCGGCACGGCCCCGCGCCGGCGGCTGCCCCGCTCGCCCGCCGCCGAGCTGGAGCCCGAGGCCTGCTGCGCCGCGCCAGGGCCCTTCTCGCTCCCGTCCCCGGGCCGCTTCTCGCTCCGGGACCGCGACCGCTTCTTCTTCTTCTTGCTGCCGCCATCCCGGTGCTTGCCGCGGTGCCGCTCGCGCCGCGAGGACGAGGACGAGGACGTGGCCGGGGGCGGGGAGGCAGAGCGCCGCCGCCGCCGCCGCTTCTCCCGAGACCGCGACCTGCGGCTGCTCCCGCGGCGGCGCTCGGTGCTGCGCGAGCGGCGGCGGGTGGAGCGCGAGCGGGAGCGGCGGCGGGCGGACGAGGCGTGGGAGCTGGGCTTGTGGTCTCGGGAGCGGTGCTTCTTGGAGTCCCAGGGGGAAGCCGGGGCGGGCGGGGCGGGCGGGGCGCCTGAGGACGACGAGGTGGCCTCCTTGGTCTCGCCCCCGCTCCGCTTCCGCTCCCGTCTGGATTTCTTGCGTGTGGGCGGGCCCGTGGAGGCGGCGGCGGTGGCCGTGGCCATGGCCGGGGAGGGCGAGCGCTGGCGGTACCGCTCCCGGCGCTGTGTCAGGATCTTGCGGCGCAGGTCCAGGCCGCCCCAGCGGGAGTCAGCGGCCGGCGGTGCGGGGGCCGGCTCTCCTAGGTCCACCTGCAGCGCCCCTTCACCGTCCGATTCCGCGTGCAGCGACAAGAAGTCGTCCCCCTCGGGCGCCCGCGGGGCAGGAGGCTGCGGCAGAGGCGCGGCCACAGGGGTGGCGGAGGAGGCGGGGGCTGCCCGGGCAGCTCGGCCGCTGGCCCGAAAGAGGGTAAGCGCCACCCTGGGCTCGTCCTCCGGCTGCACAATCTCTCCCTCCTCAATCTCCGAGTCGGCAGGCGGTAGCAGCGGCGGCGGCAGCACGGCTCCCCCGGCAGTCACCACCTCCACGGAGACCTTGCCTTCCCGACACGCCTCCGCCTCAGTCCCCACCACGAAGACGCGCCTGCGAGTGGCGCCCTCGGCCCGCGTGGAGTCCGCCTGGGGCGGTGTTCCAGGGGTTGGAGCCGGCTGTGGGGGCTGCGGGTCCGGGCCGGGACTCTCGTCCCCGGGGAAGTCCTGGCTCAGGCTGTTGTCATCGTAGATGCCCGCCAGGGTCTCCGAGATGCGACTGATACTCTGTGACAGGCCTTCCTCCTCCTCCTCCTCCTCTTCTTCCTCCTCCTCCTCTTCCTCTTCCTCCTCCTCCTCCTCCGGTGAGGGGGTCCCCGCTGATGAGCTGGGGTTGGAACCAGTGGGCTCGAAGGGGTCGTACTTCTGCTCCGGAGCCGGTGGTGGGGAGTAGGCCTCATCAGTGGGGTGGAAGGGGTCATAGATGTCGAAGCGGGGGGCCGGGGGGCCTGGGGGGGCCGGGGGTGGCGGTGGAGGAGGAGGAGAAGGGGAGGAGGAGGAGGGCGAAGGGGAGGGTGAGGAGGATGCAGAGGAGGGGGCGGGGGGCGGGGCGGGGCCCCCGTCTCCTGTGCCGAAGGTGAGGAGGTGGCGGGCACAGGCGGGCCGGGAAGAGTGAGACTGTGGAGAGACTGCAAAGGAACAAGTGAGGCGGCGGGGGACGCACGCGCCTCCCTGCAGGTCAGGTTCACACCTGCCCCCACCCGCGCCAACAGCCCGCTGTCTCCGCTGCCCAGTGCCTCACACAGGCCGAGCCACACGGCGCCCAGGCGGTGCCCCAAGGCCCAGCACTGCAGGACAGAGCAGACAGGCCCTGAGTCCCCGCGGCCCCTGCGCTCCTGTACCCTCAGGGCTGCGCTGGCCTGGCCCCAGCCACGTACACAGACACGCCGAGGACTGACCGACGGCAGGCTGGTAGGACAGCAGAGAGGCCGGGGCAGTGGCCAGGAGGCAGAGCTGGGACGGCCAGCCGAGTCCTCGCGCTCAGCTCCACACGCTGCCGGAGACCCGCCCCCACAGCCGACATCTGCCCAGGACTGAGCTGCACCGTGGACGACAGGCAGGGCCAGCCTCCCCAGTGACAGACACTCCGGAACTTTCGTGGGCACCCGAGAGTCCCCCCGAGTCTCCCAGGCACCACACCTCCTCTGTGGGCCTGGCACAGAGCAGTGTGCAAGCCACACTCTCCAACAGCCCCAGCGCGGCGCTCGGTGCCGGCAGGCGCCTTCCTCTCCTCTCTACCTCGCCCCCAGATGCGTGCGTCCACCCAGCAGCAAAGTCCTCAGGAGTCCCAGGGGTCTGCAGCCTGTGCTGTTAATGCAAATCCCAGGCCGGCGCTGTGGCGCAGCGGGTTAACACCCTGGCCTGAAGCACCAGCATCCCACATGGGCGCCGGTTCCAGTCCCGGCTGCTCCACTTCCAATCCAGCTCTCTGCTGTGGCCTGGGAAAGCAGTGGAAGATGGCCCAGGTCCTTGGGCCCCTGCACCCGCGTGGGAGACCCGGGAGAAACTCCTGGCTCCTGGCTTCGGATGGGCGCAGTTCGGGCCATTGCAGCCAACTGGGGAGTGAACCATCGGATGGAAGACCTCTCTCTCTCTCTCCACCTCTCTTCTGTGTAACTTTCAAATAAATAAATAAATAAATCTTAAAAACAGAAAAACCCCGCAAACCCCAGTGGTGGGTGCTACAGTGCAGCGGGCCCCACTGCCACTTGAGAGGCCTGCATTCCGTGCCCGAGCACCAGTTCAGGTCCCAGCTACTCCCCTTCCACCCCCGCTCCCTGCTAATGCGCCTGCGAGGCAGCGGAGGACGGCTCTAGGGCTCGAGGTCCTGCACCCACAGGGAGCCCTGGCCAGGGTTCCTAAGTCCTGGCTGCTGCGCACATGTGGCATGACCCACCAGCTAGAAGACGTCTCTCTCTTTCTGACTTTGAAGTGAATAAATAAATAAACCTTAAACAAGAAACGAACAATAACACCAGAAAGGCCGACGCCAGGGCCCCGTCGGGACCTGCTGAATCACAAGCCCTGGAGCAGGTCCAGCCTCTGCCGAGCAACAAGGGGTTCAGATAGAGCGTGCGCCCGAGACCACCACGGCCCTCACGTGCGCGTGCACGGGAGCCCGAGACCACCGCGGCCCGCGCGTGCGCGTTCACGGCAGCCCGAGACCACCACGGCCCTCGCGTGCACGTGCACGGCAGCCCGAAACCACCGCGGCCCTCGTGTGTACGTGCACGGCAGCCCGAGACCACCACGGCCCTCGCGTGCGCGTGCACGGGAGCCCGAGACCACCGCGGCCCTCACGTGCGCGTGCACGGGAGCCCGAGACCACCGCGGCCCTCGCGTGTGCGTGCACGGCAGCCCGAGACCACCACGGCCCTCGCGTGCACGTGCACGGCAGCCTGAGACCACCACGGCCCTCGCGTGTACGTGCACGGCAGCCCGAGACCACCGCGGCCCTCGCGTGCGCGTGCAGGGGAGCCCGAGACCACCGCGGCCCTCATGTGCACGTGCACAGGAGCCAGGGACTGCGGCCATCACGTGCGCGTGCACGGGGAGCCCGAGACCAGCGCGGCCCTCACGTGCGCATGCACGGGGAGCCCGAGACCACCGCGGCCCTCGCGTGCGCGTGCACGGGGAGCCTGGGCCTGAGACCACCGCCATCAAGTGCGCCCGGTCAAGCACCACAGGGCCGGGCAGCCTCCTGCAGGGACAGTGCACGGAGCAGAAATCCGAAGTGTGGCTCACACAGCCTGTGGCCCGAGGCCCAGCCCACCGCACGGCAACCAGCTGGCTGCACGACCCGGGCAATGATGCCCTCCTGCACAGTGCTGGCCCTGGAGGCCGGGCACACGAACACGCCCACCCCAGAGGACAGGGTCCCGGCACAGGACGAGCACGGAGTGCCGCCCGCCCACCCTCTGCTCCTCCATGGCCCCATCCCTCTCTCTGCACACCTGCGTGGACACACAGCGTCCTGCCCGCCAGCACAGCACTCCGCGACAGATCCCCGCAAGATTACTACCCCCACTGCCCCACGCGGCTCCACACCACCTGCCCGGCTCCGCCCCGGCCCCACATACCCGTTTTGCCCGTCCTCCAGGCCCTGAGACGGGGCAGCAGGCTGGGCACGGGCAGTGGGACGGGGTCCCTGTCCCCAATCCGGACCTCGGCCACCAGCTCCAGCATGTCCTCGCTTCTGCAAGGGGGAAGGGCGGGGTGAGCGGCCAGAGCGCTCCGGCTCCCACGCCAGGGCCCCTCCCGCTGCAGCTGCCGCGCTACTCACTCGCCGGGCCGCAGGTCCAGGCCGCTGGGGACCCAGGTGTCCGGGGGGTCCAGGACGCTCACCAGCCCCATGAGGAGGCTGTCCGCGGCCACGTCCAGCACCTGCAACAGGCCGGGACCCCTCACTGCACTGCACACGTCAGGACGCACCAGGCCCACTCCCGGTCGCTGCCCTCTCAGACCGGGTACCAGGCCCCCAGACGCCCTAACGCCGCCCCACGCGGCAGCCCAGACCTATAGGTCTGAGCCCCCTGCCTCGAAGGCCCCGCCCCTCTCCCTACTCACAGTAGCTGTGTCGGTGCCCCCCGACTCCTGGGGGTGGGGCTCCGACCGTGGGCTCCGGCAGCGCCTCCATCGAAGGCCATGGCAGCGGGAGCCATCTGGAGAGAGATGTGCGTGGGGGCTGTAGCCGGGGCCAGACAGGGAGCCCTCGTGGGGGCGCGGCCAGGAGCAGCTCTGGAGCTCCTGCCTGCTGGCCCCGCCTCCCTGCAGAGCCTTCCGGCCTCCTCCCGCCCGGGTCCCGGAGGCCACTCCCACAGCCACTTCTCCCCCACCTGCCTCCCACCTGCCCCCGGGGCAGTCCTGGCCGCTCAGCCCTGCCCTCGGGCCTCCCCCGCCTCCCTGCGCAGGGGCCAGGGGCCGGTCTCTGTGCTGCGGACTTGCTGATCCTGCGCCTCCCAGCCTTCCCGACACCGGAGGGCTCAGAGAGGGGGTCGTCCCCCGGCCCCCTGCCCTTCAGCGCTCAGGTGCTGAAACCCCCCTCCCTCCCGCCCCGGGACTGCAGGCCCTGGAGGCAGCCGCCCGCCCAAGCCAGCACGAAGGAGCCCTGAAACAGCTTCACCGGAGGAAGGGTGAGAAGAACGGGCGAGGGGGGCCCGGGGCCACCGTACCTTTGTCGCTGGGCAGATCCCCCTGCAGGGAGCTCCCCACAGCCTGCTGAACGGCCCGCTGCGAGAAAGCGGAGAGGTCGGGGCTCAGCGGGCTCCGGGGACAGCACCCCGACGCCCCCCCGCCAGACCCCTGTTCGCTCGCCCAGGAGCCAGGGCCTCCCAGCCCACTCTCCCGCTAGGGGCCCCGAGGCAGGGCCTCCCAGCCACTCTCCCTCCACTCCAGGGGTCTGGCAGCCTCACCAGGATAAAGGCAGAAGGAGAAAGCGTGGGGTCCCTGTCTGGCGGACCCTCGCCCCGATCCTCGCCCGACTCTTCCGTCTTCCCTCGAGACTCATCCTCTTCCTCCATGGTCACCTGCTGGGGGAGGGGCTGACTTGGGGAGCAGCCCCGGGTGCAGGAGGGGGGGCCGACGGAAGACACCAGGGCCCTCATCTCCCCACCTTCCCTCCTCCGCTTACAAAAAGAGAACAGTCCTCATCTCCGTCTGCCCGCGATGGACGCCACAGAGCAGTGCCCTCTGGGCTTTGGCTGTGACCTCTGTCGAGGGGCGGCCTCCCTACTCCCCGGTCCCCACGGCTCCCCCACAACCAAGCCCAGCGTCAGGACCTCGCACTAGACAGAATCAGAGATCTGTTTCCGCGCCATGACTTCAGAGCACGGTGCACGGTCCCACCAACCCCTTCCCCACGCCGAGCTGCGTGCCAGTGCCCGGGGCAGCCAGTGTCACCCACCACAGCTTCCCGGAGCATCGCTCGTCCTCCCACACGTACGACGGGCCACGCGAGGCCGGTCTGCAAAAGCCTCGTGCCAGTTCCCAAACAAAAATGCTTAGCGTCCGATACGCATGCTGTCTCCCAGGACCCCAGGGCAGGGGCACTGCCATCAGCCTCCCGTCCCAGGGAGGCACTGCCGAAGCCCTCCCGCCGCCCGGAGACGCTCAGCTCTGGCTGCCCGGTCAGGCGGCTAGAAGAGCAGGGCTTCGGCAGCCAGGGACTACCCCACCCCGAGCTTCCCTGCGCCTGTCTGCTCTCAAACCCCTGACCCTCAACTCCGCGTCCTTACCTGAAAGTGGGCAAACAGAAGACCGGGCTCATGGCACAGCCGTCGGAACAGAACGAGGCTGCCTTACGTCCCACACCCGGCACATCCCAAGGGCTCAGTACCAGGAGCGCTAGTCGCACCGTTAGCCCTGCAGCCCAGGCTCCTCCTACGCCGTCTCCTCTCCTGCCCACCTGTGCACGCCTGCGCCCCACCTCCAGATTTTTCCACCTGTGCCGTGGCTCCCACCTCAGCCTCCCTCCCTGCTCTTGGGAACCTGCAGCCACTTCCCTAACGCCCTGAGACTCCTACACACCCCAGCCTCTCACCAGCACTCAATACTGTGGGGCGCAGGCCCCCCGCACAGCTCCCAGCCCCGGCCCTGCTGGCCAGCACTTCCCGGGAGGCACACACCACCCACGACAGCGACTGTCACCCATCAGAGGCTCAATCGAGACCTGCGGGGGACAGAGCTGGCGAGCCCAGACCCTCTGTGGACGACTGAGCTGGTGAGCCCAGACCCTCTGCAGGGGACCGAGCTGCAGGGCCAGACCCTCTGCGGGGGACACAGATGCTCCTTTGCTCACTGAGAGGCCCCTGGACTTTGCAGGTGCACCCCTGGCTCCTCAGATCTTGGGACAGAGCAAGGCTGCGGCCACTGCTGGTCCCTCCAGGTCAAGGGTTTTCAGACTAGAGTCGGACAGCTGTTCGCTGCTTCCAAAACAGCTTGTTACAAAAAGGACATAAAACATAACAGAAAACTGTCCACAGCACCCCAAGTAGCAAGTGCAAATATCAATTCCCGGGCCCCGGAGTATCTAAACACCCGTCAGTATATACTTTGTCTCAATGGAAAACCTACTTCTCCCTGCAGCCCAAGGCTGAAAGACTTCGCAAAGCGATGCGCCAGGAGCGTGTAGACGGCCCCCCAGCCCCTCCCAGGCCACTGTGGACTACCGCTCTCTCCCTACCGCCCCAGGGAAATGCAAAATCTGTAAGCATTTTTCGTTTCGTGGGAATACTTTCCGAAGGGCAAGTGTGTCTGCAGCGGGCCGAATTTCCAGCACGCTCGTTGGAATTTTTCTCCACACGTTCATCTGTCCCCAAAACGCATTCGAGTCTTTCCCAGGCACAGCCTGCACGCTTGCAGTCACATCAAAGCCACCGAGCGCATTCCAGGTCCTTCCAGCCACCCCCGACCTCCCGTCACCCGGATCAGACACTCCACGCCTCCAGGACATCTCAGGACTGGCCTCGCTTCCCGGCTCGGCGCATCCCAGCCCGCTGTGTGCCCCTCGAACGCTTCCTAGCCCTTCCGTAATTCTCCCAGGCCCGATAAATGCCCCCCCTACCCGACCCGTGTACCCACCAGCCGCATCCTCAGGCCAGCCGGTGTAGACACTTGCCAGCCCCGAGAGACATACCCTGGGCGCTCTAGACGGCTCTGCAGACCTGCTCCATCCCCGGGACACGGCTCAAGCTCCCAAGATGGCCCCAAAACCCTCTGAACAGACCCCAGCCTCCGGCCGGCCCCTAAGAAGCATCCACAGCCCCCGCAGCCGCGACCCAGGCCGGCTGCACGAGGCAGGGCAGCCCCCGGGCTCAGGCCAGGTGCCGGGACCGACCCCAGCGCTCCCGGGCGCTCCGTCGACGCCCCCCGGCGCCCACGGACGCGTCCCGGGGCCCTCCGCAGGCCCCTCCGTTCGGCGCCAGGCTGCGCCGCTACTGCCGGGCCCGAGGCCGCCCCGCTAAGCCCTCCGGGCCCCGTGGCGTGCGAGGAGGACCCCGGGACAACCAGCGACCCGACTCCGCCCCGCCCACCCCAATAGGCCCGAGCCCCGCGGCCCGGACCGCCGCCGCCATCTTACCCCGCCGCTCGGGCTGCGGCTCCGGCCCCGGCGCGGGGCGGGGCGGGCTGGGGCGGGGCTCGCGTGCCGAGGAGGAGGGAGGCGGAGTTAAAGAGCCGCCGAGCTTGCCGGGATTGCAAGTACCGAGCACGGCGCCGTGAAGGCTGGCGGGAAGGCGCTCGGACTCGGTTTCCCAGAAGTCCAGGGGACAGGTGGGGCGGGGCACGCGCGCCGCACGCCGGGAGGCGTAGTCCGCGCACCGCCTCCGTCGCGCGGGGCCAGCAAGGAGGTGAGAGGTGAAGTGGGCGGGGCTGCAGGAGCCCGCGGGGAGGCCCCACAGTGCCCTGCGTGCGCGCGGAAAGGGCGGCGGAACAGGAAGTGACGTAAAGGGACGCGCATGGGAACGGATACGGGGAATTGTAGTTCTGCGGCGGGAGGACTGGGTGGGTACCGTCCCGCCCACATCCTGGGGACTCTCGGGCTCAGATTCCCTCTATATTTAGGACCCTACAGCCTCTCCCTTCAGGACGCGGAAGTCCCAGGAGTCCGTGCGTTACAGCCTCCTCCCTCGGACTGAGGGGTCTGCGTGTTCTCCCTCAGGCTTCGGGAGCCTCCTCCCTCCATTCCTGGTCTGTGCCCTGGGATCCAGAATTCTGAGTCGCCAAGCTCTCCAACCCCAGACCCAGGATCCAGTCCTCCAGCTCCGTCACTACCGGCACCTCCTGCGCAGTGCCCCGGGGGCCCGAGTCTGCAGCCCCCATTCCTTCCTGGGGCCCGAGGTCCCTCCTGACCCGGGCGTCCCGACTTGGGAGAGCTGGTTCATGGATTAGGAATGCAGTGATCTCACGGCCCCGCCCGTTCAACCCGCCGTCCCCTTCCAGGGCCCCAGCTCTCCTTCCAGCCGGCCTTCCGCTGGGCCGGGTCCCTTAGCAGGCGGAGCCCGCACGCCCGGGCCGAGAGCTGGGCTGGGCTCCCAGGGCGGGGGTGGAGCCACTTCCTCCGGACCCGCTTTTTCCTCGGAGAGCCCTATATACGGACGCGCCCGAGTCGGCGAGCGCCGCCCACCAGAATAAGGCCCGGAGCGGCTCGCTCCCCGGGCTCCCTCATTTGCATAGCTCCTCCCCGAACGAACTTCCCGCCCCGGCAGTCTAAAGAATGTGCTGATTTGCATGTCCCCGCCCACACGCGGCCGGCCTGCTGAGAGCGCGTGGCGCAGCTCCTTCATAAGCATATCCCCGCCCCTTTCGGAATTCCCCTGCCTTATTAGCATAGCTCCTCCTTCCCCGGGGCCCTGCCTCCTCCTTAAGTGTCCTGAGCCGCGAACCCTTCGGGGGCAGAGCTCATGACTATGCAGTCCCCTCATTAGCGTATCCCGCCCCCCCCCCGGGTCCCGCCCGGCTCCCCCCTGCGGGCGGTAGCGGCGGCGGCGGCAGCGGTGGCGACATGAGCAGCGGGGCGGCGTCCGAGACAGGGCGGGGGCGGCCCCGGGGCGGGGGGCCGGGGCCCGGGGACCCCCCGCCCAGCGAGACACACAAGCTGGTGGTCGTGGGCGGCGGCGGCGTGGGCAAGAGCGCACTGACCATCCAGTTTATCCAGGTAGTGGGCCCTCACGCGGGAGGGGGTCCCCGGCACCCCGCTCGGAGCCTTTTAGGGATTCCCCAAGACCCTGTTTTTCCCCCTTGGCGCGTGGCCGAGACCCTCCTGTGTGGCTCTCGGATCTGAAAAGAGCCACTCAGGTTGTGACTTGAAACTCCCCGAGGTGCCCCAGCCCCTGGTCCATCACAACCTGAGACCCGCCAGCCCTCCCCCCAATACCTGCGACCCCCGCTTCCCTGCTGACCTGGACCAGGGCGCCTCCTGGAAGCCCACTAGATACATAAGCCGTCCTCCGTCCTCCGGGGGACCCCTGACCTCCACCTGGAGCCCTGTCACACACTGCCCCCCAGATCTCAGACCCCAGTTCCCCCTCCGGGCCACCCAGAAGCTCAGTGGGAGGACTCCTGGGCCCAGCCCCTTGGCTCCCCCAGTCTGGGTTCTTAGCCACTTCAGCAACCTCCCCCAGAATCTGGACCTGATGCCCAGACCCTGGCCCCCCAGGCTCGGCTGGGACCATCTAGGGTGCCAAAGGCCAGATTTTAAAAAGATCCCTGCCCCTAGGCCATTCTAGAAATCTCTAAGACCCCAAGTCCTGCTCCAGTCCCATCCCCAAGGAAAACCAACCCCTCCTGCCTCTGGGGTTTTCCAACTCCCTCAGCTGCTCCCAGAAACCCTGGAGAGCCCCAAGTCACCTCCAGGGAAGAAGCCCCCAGAAATGCGCACTCCTTGGGGGTTTCTCTGATCTCATAAATGCATATCAGGACGCCCACGTGCCCCCAGTTCCCAGGGCTGGGCCCCGGTTCTGACCCAGCGTCACCTGAAGCACTCAGAAGATGCACCCCGCATCCCCCCGAGACCACAGCCCCCAGGCCTTCTCCCCGCTCCGTTCCTCCATGACTAGAGCCCTCAGCAAGCACCCCCCCCCACCAGCCTCAGACCCCTGCCCCGGCCCCCAAGTCACCCCTTCTCTTCTAAAAACTCACCCCTTCCCAGAAAACCTCCTCCTTCCCAAGTGAAACCCTCCCACCCAAGAAATCCCAGGAAAGTGCCTGCCCCTGAGATCCTGTGCCCCAGACCCCCTCTAGAGACCCCAGCAAGCGCTTGATGGCGAGCCCTGCTGGTGGAGAGAAAGGCCAGAGCCCTGGGCCCCTCGCACCCAGGAGCAGCCCCAGAGCTGGCCGAGGGCCTGGCTGGAGGCGGGCGGGACCCAGGCAGGAAGGGAGAAGCTGGGCCTGAGGGTGGGGCGGCTGCTCTGGAGTCCGATTGGAACCCGGACCCTCCCCTGGGAGGAGCTGGAGGCTGCCTAAGCAGGAGTGGGGGAAGGGAGGAGGAAGAAGAGGGAGGAGGAGGAGGAGGAAGGGGAAGAGACAGGCAGATAGGCGGACAGTGGCTCCCAGTAACTGATGGCTTACTGCGGGCCGGGCGGTGGGTTCAGCGTTTAACGGGGATTTGCCCTAATCTCCAACGAACTGGTTGGATGCACTGCTTTTCTCATCCTGATTTTCAAGCAAGGAAACGGGCTCAGAGAGGGGGAGTCCTGTGTTCAGTGTCCACAGCCAGAAAGTGATGGCCACATGGGCGGTGTGCGCTTTATACCTGAAAGAAAGGGCCGGGAGCAACTCGGAAGGGGACAGAGGCCCAGGGAGGAGCAGGATAGAGACCCAGGGAGAGGGGAAAGGATAGAGACCCAGGGAGAGAGGATAGAGACTCAGGGAGAGAGGATAGAGACCCAGAGAGAGAGGATAGAGACCCAGAGAGAGAGGACAGAGACCCAGAGAGAGAGGGCAGAGACCCAGAGAGAGAGGGACAGAGGCCCAGAGAGAGAGGGGACAGAGACCCAGAGAGAGAGGACAGAGGCCCAGAGAGAGAGAGGACAGAGACCCAGAGAGAGGGGACAGAGACCCAGAGAGAGAGGACAGAGGCCCAGGGAGGGAGGGGGCAGAGACCCAGGGAGAGGGGAGTACAGAGACCCAGAGAGAGATGGGGGACAGAGACCAAGAGAGGGGACAGAGACCCAGAGAGAGAAGGACAGAGACCCGGAGAGACAGGGGCAGAGACCGGGGGGGGGGGGCCTGCAGTCACTGTCCTGCCCCACCCCTCCAGTCCTACTTCGTGTCCGACTACGACCCCACCATCGAGGACTCCTACACGAAGATCTGCACCGTGGATGGCATCCCGGCCCGGCTGGACAGTGAGCACCTGAGAGTCGGGGCGGTGGCGGGTGTGTGGGACAGGTTTGCTGGGGCTGTTTGTGGAGAGCTGGGGTGGGGCGGCTTTTCCCCATGGGATCCCCTCTCCCTGTCTCCACAGTCCTGGACACGGCGGGCCAGGAGGAGTTCGGGGCCATGCGGGAGCAGTACATGCGTGCGGGCCACGGCTTCCTGCTGGTGTTTGCCATTAACGACCGGCAGAGGTGAGGGGTGGGGGCTGCCGGGGTGGGCCAGGGCGGGCACGAGGGCCAAGCCGCCGCCGGCAGAACCTCACGCCTGCCCGGCTTCCTTGCAGCTTCAACGAGGTGGACAAGCTCTTCACGCAGGTCCTCCGGGTGAAGGACCGCGACGACTTCCCGGTCGTGCTGGTCGGCAACAAGGCGGATCTGGAGTCGCAGCGCCAGGTGTGGACCCCTCCCCTGCCACACACCTTCCTGTTCACCTCTGGCCCCTGTACCCCGCCCCCCCCGCACTGCCACACTACTCACCTGGACGGGTCACCCCAAGTGCTGGCGTCAGGAGTCTCCAGAGAGGTGGCTGCAGGCAACCAAGGGCACCCACACACCACCAGCAGCCCTGACTCTGCCCCTCCCCCATCCTGGGGGCAGTGCGGCTGCCTGCCCCCTCCCACTGCAGCGGGACCCCCGACCCCTCCCCGCAGGTCCCCCGATCTGATGCATCAGCCTTCAGCGCCGCCCACCACGTGGCCTACTTTGAGGCTTCTGCCAAACTGCGCCTGAACGTGGACGAAGCCTTCGAGCAGCTGGTGCGGGCCGTCCGGTGAGCCGCGTCCCCTTCCCGCCATCCTGGTCCCCCGCCGGCCCCTGCAGTCCTCACTCACCGTGTCCCCGTCCCCCCAGGAAATACCAGGAACAGGAGCTGCCTCCCAGCCCGCCCAGCGCCCCGAGGAAGAAGGACAGGGGCTGCCCCTGTGTCCTCCTGTAGCCCCGGGACAGCCGCAGCCGGCACAAAGCCTGCGGGACCAGCTGCCTTGCACCTCGCTGTGCGACCTGGGCTCTCGCCGAGCCCGCGCTGCCCTGTCTGGGTCTCCCAGGCCACACCACCCCAGCCCTGCCTCTGTGGCCTCTCCCAGGCCATCACCACTGTGTGCCTTCAGCCGTCGCCTCCACAGCCCCCCCCCCCAAGCCTCTGGTGGGGGACTCACTGCTGTATATATCTCCCTTCCCCCCGAAAAATAAACGG